CCCCCCCCTGCTACCCTTATACCTACTACCAGGCAGTAGCAGCAGTCATGCCAACCCTGTCAGTGTAAAGGGTCCTCCCAAAATTCAACGCCATTCTCCTCAGTTATACACGTACGCCCGCCCTTTCAGCCGACACCCTCTCAATCGGGATGATCGGCATGACGCACGAGAAACAATCCTGCCCCCCTCGGGGAATTATTCCTCTGTGATAAATAAAATATCCATGATATATAGGGGAAAAATTAAATTGTAATTAAAGATCTGGTTACGATTCCTAGGTGAATTATCTGACTAAACATCGGATTTACCTGTAAGCTTAAGCTAGGGACTTTTGGAGCCAGGTCGTAGACTCCAATTTCCCCCAAAGAGATTTCAACAAGTTGCATAGCCGATTATGGTACAATCAGTTCAACAAAATGGTCCAGGTAGCCAACACGAGGATGGCCAATTAAATCGAACCCAATCGTTATCTACATATACCCCCTGGGTCCAGGTTATAAAGCGAAGACTGAACTCTACCCGTAAACTTCCTAGGAGTCTTCAAACGCTCCAAGAACTTGGCTCGATTTCCCGGGCGACTCGATTGCCTTCACCACCCTTAAAGGCCGCTTGCCGGCACTGCCTTCGGCTTTCGCAACCACCCTCGGAAAAGCCACCCTTAACAGTCCCGCCAGCTACGAGGAGAACCGCTTTCGAAAACAAAGTTTCTCAGTTTCCCGTCTATTCCAGTTGTTGCCGACCACCCCCTTCACTCACCCTCTCACTCATCTCCCTCCCCTTGCGTACCCTGATCTTTTCGCTCTCTTTCCTGTACACAGGAACCCTGTTCCCTCCAGGAACGTCGACTCACCCCTCTCATACCTCCTATTCCCATCCCTTAGCTCATACCCCAACCACCGTCGCGTCTGCACTTGAGCCAACCAGCCGGCGCACCCTCCCTTTTTTTCCCTCAGGATATTAATTTTTACGGAAGTTACCTCCCGGCCGACGGGCCACGTATTTTTCGCGTCAATTTCATTTTTGCGAAAATCTCGGATAAACTCCCTTGGCCTATGTATAACAACCATGTATATATCTCCTGTGAATGCTATATCAATATATCCTAATAGGCACGTATACATATTATATAATAGTTATCTACCTAATATATGTGTATGTATAGACGAGATTATCGAGCCAGGGCCGTCGGTATTCCCGTATTAGCGAAATTAAATCGCTCCTTCACTACTTCTTTTCTAGGGGTTCATCTCGACTACGATGCTTTTTACTTCTATCGAGACGACGACGACGACGACGACGACGACGACGCGTCGTAACGTCGAGGCTTCTTCTCTCGACTCCCCCATTTTCTTTTCTCCAGCACCGTTCTACTTCGCGCATCCCCTCATCCACCCCTTTTCTGTCTTCCCGACGATAATAACGAGAGAGGGTGGACCACCGTAAAAAAAAAAAGAAAAAACCTCCCTCCATCCACCCTAGCGAAGACGGAAGTACTTGCTATTCATTCTCGACGCCTTTAAACTCCCGTAGGAGGCATCTCTAGCGCGAATTAGTACAGACCTTTCCAGCCGAGGTGACAACTAACGGCGTCTCGCGCTCTCCGCTGGGAGATAAAAAAGATCTCTGCGTCGAGTCAGAGTTGGAAAACAATTGAAAAATATGAAGTCTATACCTCACTTGGGATTTTGTCGTTCCAAGAAGAGGATCTATCGTTCAGAGATTAATCATGGTAGAACAAGTGAAACCTGGTGTCAAGAGCAACGTCTTCCTTACTTCGAGCACTCATAAGCGTAACACGTTGTTCCTCTTTCGCATAATAGCTCGCTGGCGGCCATTATCGGGGTACTGGGAAGTTTACGACTTCAGGGAGGGAGAGAGAGAGAGAGAGTATACTACAGTGTTACAACATAAGTAGACAGAGAAAGAGAGTGTTAATTCGCTTGCATATGAAAACCCTGTCAGCTGATTTCCATAGTCATCGAATGTAGTAGGTATTGCTCGCATCCATATGCATGGGGGTCATAAAAAAGGAGGTTGGAAATGTAAAGGCATCAAGGAGCATCCACAACAACGTGGCACATGAATTTATAACTCGTTAAGTTTCAGAAAGTCGAATCAGTGTCGCAATCCTTCTCAAGCATGTGACATGGATATATGTATATTGTGACGTGATTTTTTGATACACAGTCACAAGGCGACTCCAACTATCGATTCGGATAACGTTCTAGGTTTCCGGTTCCCTTCGAGTTGTCATCCTAATCAGAAGCTGCGCTCTCGGGTTGATTCGTACAGTTAGGCCGATGCTCTCGGAAAGATTTGTTATTGTTCAGTCGAGGTCGAGGTGCTCGAATCTGACGTGGAGAAACAGTCACGAGGTACCGAGTTGCCCGGGAGAGGAGCCGACGGTGACGTGTTCACGGACCGGCAGAGGTCCGGCTGAGGTACCGGCGCTCCGCTGAAGAGAGGTCAAAGGGCTGTAAAGCGGCCGGAGCTATAGTTCTGGTACGGTTGATGCCAGGGGAGGAACATCCTGTACTCGATGCCCTGGAGAAGCGGCCGTGGAGGATCTCCAGGAGTTGCGTACCGATTCGCTAAGGAACGCTCTCGATTTAGTTTAAAGGGACGATTCGAGGGAAAGGAAAGTTATCGGGCATAAGGATCTCGACCAATCAGTATGATTAGTTATCGAATTTGACTATTGTCAAAGTCAGTCTGTCTTGGGTCACCGAACGGGGTGCCTGGAGATGCCTCGCGCCCCCGCGCTATCTGTTGGTAGTTTTCGCAATATCCAGAAAATCCTATAGATTTTCTCCGTGTGTTTCGGAAATGCAGTGTTGTGCTACAGTGCAGTGCCCACCTGAGTGTCCCTCTGGATGCAGTTCTCAGTCTTCGCGGTTCAGCTGAACCAGCTCGGGTGAGAACTCGCAATTTATTAATCGGTGGAGGAATTTCGATTTTATAGCTCCGGCTCGGTCTGCTACGCTCTCGATCAACCGATCTCGAATTAGGAAAATATATTATTACATATTGTAACGTGGCGTTACAGAGCTGGAGGGGATACCACCTAGGAATGACCGAAAAATAAATAAATAGGACTTATCAGGTCGGACAGTGGGTTCAATAGCACAGTGGTAAGTGCTCGACTTGGCAGTCCGAAGGTATCGGGTTCGAATCCCGATCAGAACTCCTAATTTTTCGGAAATTCCTAGCTCTCTAGTGCTCCCTGGCGGCTCTATGGATCAAAATTAATTATAGCGGAGACGAGTCGAGCCGGGCACCCCGTTATAATATATATATATATATAATTTATTAAACAATTCAATTGACAAATTACTACAGTAAAGGCCGATTCTGATTAAAATGTATTTTAGTGTAAATTTTTATTGAAATTATTTTCCTCGTTTCTGTATAATATTAAAAAAAAAGCGATATATCAATATCGATATAATAAATAATAATACAATATCATGCAGCGACTATACTGTATAATGATTTTGTGCGCTCATCCAGTTGCGTTTTTCCATTTTACGCGTCCCCAAAAATCGACAAGACCCGTTAAGCTGCCGTCTCTTCTGACAGGTTCCATCAGAGCTCTCGTTTTGATGGAATTGGGCCTGTTCCACCTTAATCAGGTCATTCCGCCTCTTCAGTTTCCGATAATAAAAGAATTGGCTGGCGTCCGCCTGGCATGCGAATGCACGAACGAAGGGTGGACGGCCGAAGGTGACACTCTTGAAGTTTCGTTATCGGTGCCCGGTTAAGAAAATACGTTACAATATACACATATATATATATATATTTGGCTATAGCTAGTGTAATATTGCATAAAAGTCATATATGCGTGTAGCTAAGTAAATAAACAAAAAAACATACATATATATACACATAGCGAGTAAAAGCTTTTCTCCTCGCCAGTATACTGGGACTAATCGCGTCAAACAATGGGCCTGAGAAAAATCCGAGACGTCCCTCCTAGTGAAAGGAGTCCGACTGACATCTGGCAGCTCGTGGCCTAGCTGGAGTCAATCCACCCCAATCATCCATGGGGTAGTTTTCGGTGTACATAACACATACACCAATAGGGGTTGCTGTGATCGGGATCTCCTGTTGTTCAGGAGCCGTTTGTTTCTCGTCTCCTGGACCGAGATTAAGAAACTAGCGGGAGGCCTCTCGCGGTCGCGTGTGGGAACCCGGGTCCAGCGTCCCTTCCATCTTAGCTTACCCTTTATGAAGTCCATGTACGGGGCAGGCTTGAGAATTTCACGCGTACCCTTTGACCTTTTCAGGGCGGTAGGCATATGTAAGAAATTCGATTAATAGCGTTTCATTTTATTTTCGCGTGTATTGAAACTACCCTTAAAATGAAATTTATATCTTTGCATTCTTTTTTTCTTATCTATGAAATGCTAATTACTCTCTTTTTTTTTACTAACGAAACAAGTTGGTACCTTTAACCC